TTGGTACATCCTCTCAGCAATCCCAGCAACAACTTTGGAAGAGAGGCCTGTATTAGCTACTCTGGGACTGCAGTAAGTGAGAGGCTGCCTGCGTCGAAGGAAGAGATTTACACCACGGAGAAGACCCATCCATCTGACAGAGTAACTGTGGACAACAGGCTAAACATGAGCCAACAAGGCGATGCAGCCACCAAAAGGGCAAATGCTATTTTGGGATGCATTAACAGAAGCATCACTTCCAAATCATGAGAAGCAGTAGTTCCTCTCTTCTCCTAACTAGTCAGACCCCACCTGGAATCCTGTGTCCAGTTCTGGGCACCGAGATTTGAGAAAGATGCAGGTAAATTAGAAAGGGTCCAGCGGAGGGCAACAGAAAAGATCCAGGGTTTGGAAACTCTACCCCGTGAGGAGAGACTGAGGGAACTGGGCATGTTCAGCCTTGAGAAGAGAAGACTGAGGGGGGACATGAGATCCCTCTAGAGGTACCTCAAAGGCTGTCACAAAGAGGAAGGTCAAGATCTCTTCTTGCTGATGCCACAGTGCAGGACACAGAATGATCCATTCAAGTTGCGACATCGGGAAGAGCTTCCTCACTGTCAGAGCAACACGACAGGGGAACCAGCTGCCTGGAGAGGTGGGGGGCTCTCCCACACTGGAGGCATTCAAGGAGAAACTGGGCAGCCCTCTGAGTGGGATGCTGTAACGTGGAGTCCTGCAACAGCAGGGGGGTGGACTGGATGGCCTTCATGGCCCCTTCCAACTCTACTCTTCTATGAGTCTGTGATTCCGTGACTGCAGGGAACCTGCTCCCCTTGTCCTTTCCAGAAGCCCTTGTCCCCTCCAAAAAAGCACACGGCTGCAACGGACACTCTCGCATCAGCTGGGGAACAAGGAGGTGCTCATCATCCAAAACGCTGCATGAGGGACCAGGAGAGGTTCTGGAAGCAGCCCAGAGAAGCAACTGACTGGAAGCCAGGATCAAAACCTTAGAAACACACATTCCCAGGGCACACGCAGCAATGCTGGCCCTCCGAGGCGGCTTTCAGAGGAGGGCGGCCGTGACCGGGAGACCACTGAGCGAGGTCACGGTGGAAATGCACCACGTGGTCCACAGTTCTGTCTTCTAACCACTAGGTACACTGGTTAGGAGAGACAACAGGAGCAGGGCTCCCTAGAGAGGGGCGGGGAAACACCTTTCCTCTTTGCCTTTCCTCCATGTTTGTACCCGGGAGCTTCCGGCTGGGTACTGCACAGCCAGGGATGTGTGACCCCTTTTTCTTTCCTTATGCTAGTATATGCGTGCCCCATCTCCAACCTTTCCGGTTCCCTCATTTTAGGGCCAAAGCAGACATTCCTCGATCACCATAGCTAGCAAGTACATCTTCTCTGCTTCCTTATTTGGCCTACACAACAGACTGAGGGGCAAATGTTTCTGAAACAAACTAACAAAACCACCAAAACCAACTCACCAAAACATTGCCAAGGAGGTTGCCTAGGGGAGAAATACATGAAATGCAACAGAATAGTCCCAAGAGGTGACCCAAGGGAGAATTTTGTGGCCAGCTGCCTCTCTCTTGGAGAGAGAGGGCCAAAGGGGGAGAGGGGTAAACAGGACAGATCGTTTGCTTGCTCTCTCTGAAGGTATCAGCAATGTCATCGAGCCACAGAATACACGATAATTCAACTGTTTCCCTCCTCTGTGCTTGGCACAGTTGACTAACAAATGGCAGATGCTGTTCAATGCAGATAAAACTGAGCAATGGGCTTTGGAGGGGGAAAGAAGGAGACTTGCTCTCGTCTGGCTTGGCGAAGGTGTGGTGGCCCATACTAAGAGACCTGGAAAGTCACTGGGGGAATATGCATTCTGAATGGCTCAATTCCAGGAGGCATGTTCTGCTCAGAGAGCAGCGGAAGAGACGAGCAAGCTGTCTGCAGAATCTTTCCGCTTTTCTGGGGTGTTCCTTTTTTCTCTCCTTTCAGAAATACTGTATTTCAGAAAGGAGGGCAAAATAGAGACCCCCTTTGCTTTCTTTAATCTTTTAAGGGAGAAACCTATGAAATTTTAGAGAGAGAAAAGTCTTATTTCTGTCTCAAGGACTGCACCTGTCCAAGGCCGAGAAGGCAGAGGAATTTACAAATATTGACTGCTTGGAAAAGCATCTGGTAGGGAAATACAAGAAGTGGATAGTCAATTCTTCGACTGGTTCTTGGAGTCCATCTATTTGACCATCTAGCTCAGTACCGCCTCGCCAGGGTGGCTCCTGGTGGATGAATCCCCACCCCACCCCGCCATCCCTGACTGTTGGCTAGCTGGCTGGGGTTGATGAGAACTGGAGTCTAACGACAGAGGGCCAGAAGTGCGCCTGTCAGCAGAGAGGATCAGAAATCCCACAAGCAACATGCTTAGCTCTCCTAGACACTTGCACCCGCTCCAGAAAACCCACCGCCCTTCCCAACGTACATCAAGACCATCCTCTGTTCACAACTAACATTCTATCGCTCCCAAAAACGCTCAGAGCGTGTACTGTGCAAACACTGCCATTGGCACAACCAAAATACAGCCATTTAGACTCAGTAGGAACCTGCTTCGCACGTGGTTTGAGGGTGTCCCTCCCATGAACTCAGCCGGCTTTGCTTCAGCCCCGATCCCAGGATAAACACCACCATCGGTGGCACCGGACGGCCCCAGTCTTGCCTCATAGTAAGAGGAGGGACAACCGGTGCAGATGGAATTGAGAACGGTCTCTAAACACACGGCAGGAAACACCAGCCGGCGTGGCCACATCTCTGGAGCAATGTGAGAACAGCTCTGTGGCCCATTTAAAGCTGCGCTCCGCTGGGAGCACTGAGCAAAGCACCGGGCAGGTTTTTGCCGGGTTTTCCCTCTTTCCCATTAAAGGGACTGAAACATTCTGTTCCTTGCCTAGAGACAGAGCAAATTATACATTAAGAATAACTTTTCAAATGCTATTAACTACATGGGCAAATTACGTAGCTCTAATTTTTCTTTCTTTTCCCAAATCTTTCATTCGTACCTTAAGAGAAAAAGCCAACCTTTATAAACAACAACAGAGGAATCGTTTTAAAAACGGCTTAAGGAAACACACAAATCCCAAACTGTCACAATGAAAAACATCACTGATCTATCTGGCTTTGGCGTAAGTGCGTGTGTTCTAAATTAACACAGCCATGTATCCAAAAAAATGTTTTGCAGTCCCTGCTCAGGTATTGGTATGCCTGCCTTGGAAAGGAGGTTGTAAAAGCTTCACTACCAATAGCAACCAGGGTTATCTAGCTCAGCTGCAGCTTTTGGATGGACATCCACACACGCTGCTGGAGGGCTGTTTCCTAACGTCTCTTTTATTCAGACCCAACAGGCATACCTCTGCCATCTGCAGCAGCATACGACGGGGACCATTCTTCTCTTGGAAGCACAGCAGTGCTACAAAACAGCGGATTCTGAGCCATTCCCACACAGATGCTGAAGGAGGCCTCTGTTAAAAGGCAGGCAGCTAGCAAAAATAATAAAAAGCAAACAAACCGCCAGGTGGGATCCATGGGGAAGGAAGGAAATGCAAGGGTTGAGGGATGAAGGAGCCTCGGCTGGGCCAACTCACAGTGTACCGGCAACTGGACCAGCTTCCAAACTGGAGGAAGGAGTGGGGCAGAGGGAGAGAAGAGGCCTGGAAATGAACCAGTGTGGTGTGGTGGTTAAGAGCGTGGGACTGGGACTCAGGCGATCTGGGTTCGAGTCCCCGCTCAGCCATGGAGCCCACTGGGGGGCTTTGGGCCAGTCACAGACTCTCAGCCCAACCTTCCTCACAGGGTTGTTGTTGTGGGGTAAGATGGAGGAGGAGATGTACGCTGCCTTGAGCCCTGTGTAGGAAAAAGGCACGATGTAAATAAAAAAAAAAAAAGAATTGCAAAGGGAATCTTGACCACATCTGGTGGGCACCGAGTCCAGGAAAGCTCTGCTACAGAGTAAGCATCAAAAGCCACTCCACAGGTCTCAGACCTGTTTTCGTTTTCAAACTGACTGACTCTTCAGCCTTTGAATTCCTCAGCCTGCTACTCTGCGATACCGACAGGTGTGTCAACGGTCCACGGGGCAGCCTCCTTGCAGATCCTGAAGGAAGGAGGGTGCTTCTTTTAAATGCAAGATTACGTCCCATACAGGACAGAAAAGCAACCGTTCAGTGTGAGAAACAAAGGCCGTCTGCTGATTTTAAAATATGGAACTGTTCCTGCTATAGTGCCACCCGGGAGCGCCAAAGCAAACCAAAGCCAAGCTCCATTAACATTTGAGGAGTTACTGGTGTATAAGATGCGGTTATACGGAGCACGTTCTCGCTGCCTATCCTGCTTGTTCTTACAGAAAAATGAAAGCTGATTCCAGAGGCAAAACGCCTGTTTGCTTCAGACAGCACAAAGGAGAGCAGATGCCATCTTCAAGTGCCAAATCAGTATGAGGGGAAAGGGGTCTGTCTCGGGCAGGTGTGGCAGCCAGGCGGACATGCTCCACCGTGGGTCTGGCTGCCCTTTGCCATGGCGTGTGATCCCATCGTCCACCGTACCTTTCTGGGGAGCATCTGTGGTACGGGATTTGGAGGCGCAAGTTCGTGAGGACTCTGATCCTCCCAAAGACCGGCTTGGGGCTGAAAGGCGGGTCATACACATTGGAAGCCAATGAACAAAACGGCTGAATGCTCTTTTTTTTTTACCAAATCGGTGGAAATAGGAAGGCGCACACGGTGATGCCCGAACACAGCGCAGGGAACCTTCAGGAGTTCCGCCCTCTTTGCTTGCTTTCAGCTCGCCAATTAGTCAAGAGAGAATTTTTAATCTGTGATTAAAGTTTAGTTAATTAATCACACCGATTAAAGCTCACAACCCTATCAGTAAGGAATTCCATTTCTTCTCAGAAGACAAATTTCCTAATTAGAAGAGCTTTAGCCCTATCCCTCCTCCCAGCTGCATAGAAAAGGTGAGGGAACACTCACCTGAGTGCATCCACCTCTTCTCTAGCAATGAGGATGCCTGGATCGGTGGCAGGTGCCTGGCTCTTCAGAATCTTCAGCTCTACCTCCAGCTGCAACATACAGAGAAAGCACACAGGTTGGCTTTTGGGGGGTTTTGGAACCGGCATTCTTCCTTCCCTCCCTCCCTCCCTAACCATAGATTAATTATCATAAGTCTGTGTATATGCAGAGATACAGAGAAGATGATTTGATGACCATCATGGAACTAAAGGGGAGATTTTGTAAAATTTGGGTAAGACCCATCTCGTGCTTCGGTAAGCCACATTTCTGGAAGAGCCGTTTTCCTGATCTTATGTGTGACTTCAGAAAGTAAGAATTGGTCATTCACCATTTTATGGGCCATCCGTTAGTGGGTAATAAGAAGATAAGACGTTCAAACTTAATTTCTCTCATTAGCATTGCTTTCAGGAATCACCAGATATATGCATGGTCAAGACCAGTATTAAGGAAGCATCCAAAGACAACCAAATGCTCTCAAACTGGAATTGTTCCAAAATACAAGGGGCCATTTCTTGGGAGAGGGTGGGCCCACCAAACGGCTTCATTCCCTCTTGGGCAGCCAAGTGGAAATGTCCTTCCTTCTCAACGAAACTTCAGCTGCGACACAGGACATGCATGGTTTCAGCTGCTAAAGTTTTGAGAAATCCCTTCACAGCTCCAAAGGAATTTTGCCTCCCAGAAAGGTAGGCAAAGCATTTGGTTTTAGGACATACGTATTTAAATGTTACGTGTTCCTTCAGCCCGATTCTATGCCCATAACTCCACCAGGTCTTTCCAAAGATTCGTCTTGTCCACTTCTCCTCCTCCTCCTCTCCCCATTTCCATCGGCTCTCCCTTTAAAAACATTACACAGTAAAATGCAGAGCTTCGTGCACACATCAGAAAATAATGAGCATGCACTGCTCTAATTAGAGATGCAAACCAAAGCCATATACCAGGGGAGATAAGGGTATTAGCATACAGTATCCTTCAACTCCACTGACGGAACTTACACTGCATCCTAATTCCACACCGTCACAGCCTGTGCGCAAGTGTGTCCTGAACATACCAATGTCTGTGGCTCCATCCGAGCCTGAATGGCAGGTGGAAAGAGGGGAACGTTCAACTGGCCATTCTCCAGTTCTTTGGTACAGAGGCTGAGCTTATGGTGACGCTACATGTCTTTGTTAGGAATCAGCAGTTACAACTTTGAATTAGTCAAGGATGTTAGGATAGGTACCATCTAGTCCTGGTGATCTATTAACTTTCAATTTGTCAATAAGGCTGAGAACTTCAGCTGTTGCGGTCATTATCTGCCTACTTTCTCAGACACACATCAATTCAGGTGGAGGCATCTATCTTCTGTAGTGAAGGTAGTTCAGAATAATTCATTGAGCTGCTCTGAAGCTGGAAAGGGTTCAGAGGAAGGCAACAAGGATGATCCAGGGACTGGAGGCAAAGCCCTGTAAGGGGGGATGGAAAGAACTGGCCATGTTTAAGACTCAAGAAGAGAAAACTTGAAGTGAACGCCTTCGGCAAGTACTGGCCAGGTGACCAGGTTCTCTTCGCGATCATCCCAGAGCGAAGGACAAGGAATAATGAGCTCAAGGAAGCCAGATTCCCACTGAACATCAAGAAAAGTCCCCTGCAAGGGAACAAATTCCCTAGGGAAGAGGTAGGCTCTGCCACACGGGAGGCCTCCAAGAGAGATCCAGGCACACACTTTGTGTTCTCTGGATTGAGGGATGCTTCAAGGACAAAACCCAGAGAGGAGACGGCTGGAACTGAAAAATCTGTGGCAGAGATACTGTCTTCTTCCTTGGCCAGACAAGTCCATGACAAGTCTGGGAAAGAGCCTGGTCAGACAGAGTGGAATGTTTTGCCGACCTCACAGGTGATGGGTTGAAAATAAACCTGTCCCGGGGATCCATCTCCCACCTTTGCTCTGGCTTCACACATTTTACCCAAACCTATTTCTGGGATGGTTTTGGCTACCAAACCAGCCACTCCCTTCAACTGTTATGGCCTGTCTGAGCCATTTATGCGAACCGTTTTCTGAGGGCTGTACCCGAAATACCAGGTGCAAAAGATTATGCGAATAAGCACAGGGGGTTCAAAATGTTTCATCCAAACGAAACCTGTAATCACTTCTGAAATCCAGGCCCAACGGAACGGGTGCCGAAATGCACCTGCATCCTTGCACTGGAGGAAAAGAAGTTAATTCATATTGGCTAGCTGATAAGATTATCACAGTAAGAAATGTTTTCCTCAATTTTCTGATTACTGAGCGTCTCTCTTTCCTAGCGCAGCCCATCACAGATGGCCAGGATAAAACCAGTGCTCGAGATAATTCCAGGGCCGCGAATTCCAAGGCGCGAGAAGGGCCAGGTAGGAGGCGTTCGATGCCGCCCCGCCCGGCTTGCACAAAGCCATTTATTATGTGTTTTGCTTTTCCATTCCTGCTGAAGGTTGCAATGAGGTTTGTTATTATAGTTTTGCACTGCTCTCTGGTCTGCGCACGGACAGATCCGAAGATGCAGCACCAGTAAATAGGCTATTTATCACTGGCTAAGCAGTCTCAACCTTGAGTCCAACTACCACCTGCTCTCTTGACACAAACAGATAAATTGCTGCTGCCTCCCTTTGGCAGAAAAGGCAAAGGGTTAGTAATAGATTGCTGTGAATTCTGATTCTGGGCTTCTGGTCGAAGGAAACAGAGCATTATGAAGGGGTGCGTGTGTCTATGCATGCATGAGGAAGAACAGCCCATGAGTGCTGGAAGGAAGGATGCGAACATCAGAGGATGGCACTGAAGAAAGCAGGTTAAAATTCCCGGCCTGCTCCAGGGCAGGGCGAAAAGATTGCCTGCTTCTGCATTTAAGCGCAATCTGGCCCAAAGGGGCCGTTAGAAACAGAACGCACTGCAATGGCTGTCTTCGCAGGAAACGGCTATTACATTTGAGAATCAAAGTGCCATCTGACAATTCACAGAACCACATCCTTGGACAAATTGCCGGCAACAGTCCAGGTGATTCAATGAACCTCTTGATGGCAGCGCGATGCTCCGGATCGGCCCACCGGCGCCCGCCGCACTGGAAGCGGCCGGAGGCCGTCGGGAGGTTGACGAAGGGCGCGCCATGCAGCATTTCGAAATCTCCGGTGCGTGTGTGAGACTAACACACAAAGTGCCTTAACCATGCCGTGAAGCTTTCCGAACGCAGGCCTCGCAAAACTAGTTGCACTTTATACAGCTGCATTCCAGTTCTCTCTCCAGATGATGAAATGCCCAACATCTGGAGTGGGATCATTTGCTTCCCTGCAGCTTCAGTTCCGGCAACGCACCCGACTTCCTACTGTACCGCTGAGCAGTTTATCAAAGGCTCCAGTTTGGTGTTGACGTTCTCCTTTAAGACCTTCTCCATCAATAGCTGGATAAACCAGAATTATTTATTTGCATTTTTACATTAATATCCCACTTTGTCTTCCCCGCCACCGCTGTCTCTCCAATTTAACCCCCAATTCAACAGCCCTGTGGTTTGGGCTAGCTGAGAGTCTGCAATCAGGTGAAACTGGCTAGCTGAACTTCATGGCCCGCTAGCCAGTTCACAGCTGACTTGGTCTTCCCAAACACTGAGGCCACAGCGCTCCGGGGGCTCCAAGCTGTGCTTCAGAGACAACCAACCCTCTGGAAGTTGCCTCCAACATTTATTCTCTTCATTCACTGGAGGAGGAGAAATGTCCCGGTCCCTCCAGCATTCAGGGCCTCGGGAACGCGCTTGCCATTCTCTGCTTGGAACATGCTTCTTCCATTTGGGTGGAGATCTGGAGGTGAGCGGATGGGGGGAGGCTGAGCCGACGAGGAGGAATGGAGGCCGGGGGGGCTGTGCGACGGCAGGGGGCTGTGAGCCGTCGAGTGGAGGGTCAGCCGCAGCCAAAAGAAAGGGCGCAGGGACGACCGGGTCCAGTGAAGGCAGGGATCGGTCATGCCTTGGAATGACTTCCACGCAGGCAGCTAACGGGCCAGCGAGGTGCACAGTGACGGCACAGGGCAGGTGCAGAGTGTTCCTCACCCATCTGCTTCCACACTCCGGTAATTTCTAGTGACCCATTAAACCCCACAATGACACTGCAGGAATTGATGCTTTTCGCTCTTTTCTTTCAGCTAAATGAGAGAAAAGAGCACTGAGCTTCTAGCCCCACTGTGTACGCCATGCCCAGGGTATCTCACCAGATGGCCTGAATTATGGATTCTACTGAAGGTGCCAAATGATGCTCATTTCTAGACCCAGATTACATTCTGCATTAGAAGAGAGGAAGAACCATTCATTTCCAGAGGCATTCAGATGGTTTTAAGATGAGACCCTGTTCCGATCCAAATTATTTTCCCTGCCCGCTTGCTTTTTAGGGTTTCGTGTCTCCTGCTCCCAGGATGTTCTGCACATCATCTGTGCTCGAGCAGTAATCCCTAATCCCACTCCTACAAGTAAAATAGGTTTATTTTATCCATTCCACGTCTAACAGCAGTGAATTTTATCTGCCAATTTGCCACACAGTGGGCAAGTGATGGGAGCTTGTCTAGCACTCCATTCGGCTTTTAATGTAATTATCTTAAATAGCTTGATCTCAGTGTTTTTACCCTTTTTATTAATAACCATGTTAACAACAAGTCTGGAAACATGCAGGGCCTCAACTGGAGGGAATTTATCATGGTAGGTCAACCACCATGCCTGTCAACTAACTGCTTATCTTCCAGCAGACCTGGGGGCTGGATTCACCAGAAACTCTGGATGGGATCCCCCTGAACACATGCCCTGAGAAAAACCTAGGACATTTCCAATGGACCAGCCCAAAGTCACCGACTTAGCTGAGTGGGGACCAGAGCCTGATCTCCCAGGTTCCTGGTCCAGTGCTCTAACCAGTACTCCATACTGCCCCTTGACCCCCTGAATATCACAAAGCCCTGTGGAAAAGAAAGAGTGGCATGTCCAAAGGAAAGGACTCCTGGATTAGATGGATCCAGAAATTCCTGCAGGGTCCCCCGCCAAAGAAGGCACCCTAGCAGAATTAAATC